CCCGGGACCCCCACCCCCGCAGGCACAGCGCGTCTGTGGGAACAAGAAAGCGGCAGCAGCGCCTCTGCGCTCAAGTGACAGCGCCTTTGTCTCCACTGAATGAGCGGGTTGCTAAGGCCGCTCATAGCAACCGAGCCGCTTCCCCCTCCGCCCAACGCGGCCCCACCCTCCGCCTCCCTAGCCCCCAACCCCACCCCGCGACCTACTCTGGTGGCCTGAGCCGGGCGTGCGGAGGAGGGCAGGGGGAGTGCGGGCTGCCAGCGCTGTGCCCTCCTGAACGCCCACCGGGCACACAGGTGTTGCTTGGATGGAGAGACTCGGGCTCAGAGGGGGAATGAGGAAGACTAACCAGGGCACCCAGGCCAGGACTCCCACCCAAGGTCCTACCCCGGCCTCAGTTCCCAGCCCCTCCCCATCTTGAGGGGTCCCGGGGTCACCCACCCTGGTTCTGTCAGCCCAGCCCAAAGGGTGCCCTTCCCTCCCAGGTTCCTAGCGGGCTTGGGGACTTTTCTCCAAGCCCAATAGGCCCCGGAGGGACAGACAGCAGCGTGGAGCACTGCCTGCTCCAGCAGCCATAGCCTCTCCCGTCCCCCATGCTCCCGCTAAGCCCACCAGGTCCCACAGCTCTGTCCCCAGAAAGCTTTCTGTCGGTGGCTGTCCCTCCCCTCTGTCCTCCCCACCTGCCCTGAAGTTCAGATGGCCCTGTGGTGTCCCGTAATAAAACTGTTCTTGTGACCTGTCCCGCTCTGGGATGACCTGGTCCGGGGACGGGGACAGGATGCCAGGCTCCCTGGGAGGGGAGGGGGACAGGGCAGCTGCCACTTTGGCTTTGGGCTCTGGATGGCCCGGCTTCACCATCAGGGCAGGTGCAGCCCACACTTAGCACCTGCTGCGTACCCAACTGGTGCTGAAGCCTGAGAGCCACAGGTCCTCACCTCAGCCTGGGGGCCCCCATCACCCCATTGTGCAGAGACCCGGTCTCCCACCCGGTTAACACCGGAGCCTGTGAATGGGAGCCATGCAGGCAGACTGCTCAGAGGCGGCGCCAGGGCGGGCAGGCCTGGCTCCAGGTCTGATGAGAGTCTTGCTTTGGGAGGTGCCTGACTCCAGATCTGGCTGTGCCAGCAGGTCCTGCCACTCTCCAATCTGTGCTACAGGCAAGATTCTTCTCTGAGTCTGGGTGTCTCTAGGGCAGAGTGGTTTCAGGGCCCTGGTGAGGAACACGGGTGGTGTGTTAGGGCTTGACCAGGGTAGGCCCCAAGGCAAGGACCAGGCAAAGGGGGTGCCCAGGGGCTGGGACTCAGGAGCAGAGGCTAACCGCCCTGTTGACCTCGGCCTGGCTCAAATGCTGCTGCGGCCAGAGGACGGGCACAGTGAGGGGCATGGTGAGGAGCGTCAGGGCAGCCACCTGGGGGTATAAGCTGCACCCAGCCCCTCTGCAGCCTTAGAAGTTGCTTCTACCCTGGGCCCTGCCCGGGTTTCTTCTTGGGGGAGACATGAAGTGACTGATTCTATGGGGGGTGGGGTGGGGGGGCCTACCACACAAGGACAGATACCTGGGTATTTCTTTCTGGGGATGGGGGACTGTTGAACCTCTGGAAACCCCGCCCATCATCTGTAGAACAGGGGACACCAGGCTGCGCTGAACTGGATGAGGCACTTGGTGGTCCTGCTGCCGGCATTCGCAAAGCCCTCTGACCCCCTCCCTTCACTTGCAGAGGGCTCATGTCTCCCCCCACCCCCAACTAATACGGACTGGTGTGGGGAGGGGCCCAGGGGCAGGGACCAAGAAGTCCTGTCCAGTCTCCTCTCCATCTGCTCCATACCCTTCCTCCCATACAGTCTCTTTACTCTCCAACCAAAATAACTTCTCTTGGGTCCCCAAACACTGACACCCCTCCATCCCTTTGCTCACACTGCTTCCTCTGCCTGGACTGCCCCCAACAGTTGTCTAACTGGTAAACCCCTGGGAATGAATCCTTCAAAACCCAGTTTGGATGACACCCCTTCTATGGAGACTTCCTGTCCCCCCCCCCGCCCCCCGGAGGAA